AGATAGATAAATTTAAAAATATAACCATAAGTACAGAATGTAGGAATTAGTTAAATTGGTGTACTTATATTATATTTTAATAGATGAATTAGGATGAGTATTAAAAAGTGTATTGAACCTAATGCGAATCAATCATTTTTCAATTGAATTAACGAGATGCTCTAGGGTCAAACATTTTTTATAGAATAATCCAAAATTTTAAGTGTTCTTTTAACTTCAAAAATAATTTTTTTAATGAGAAATAAAATTTCATTGATACATGAAAACCATAAGAATTCCAAAACCAATTTGAATGGGGCAATATGCTAGAGATTTTACACGCATGAAATGGATGAAAATGCAAAATCAAATAATTTAATACCTACATGAATATTGTGCTAGATCCAAACAGAAGATAAATTGGTTGGGCAAAAAAATTTAGCTAGGGGTTCCATCCCCAACCATGCCCTCAACAATCAAAACAAACGTGACAACTAATCTAGAGTCCAACCAATACCGCATTCAAGTTGTCATCCTCCTCCTACAAAAATGAATTTTGATAAAACCTATCAAAAAAGTCAAGGTAGAAACCCTTAGAAACCTTCACAAGAGAGGAAGAAACTCTCATAAGTGGGGAGAAAACTCTCACCTTTAATCTACCCTAACCATTGAGGGAGAAAGAGACAACAATGCCTACGGGGTTAGCTTCAAAACTCTTAATTCATAATTCAAGAGTTGCTTTGGTGAGTGGAAGGGGGTTTAGATCCCGCAATTGGAAAATGTTGATTTTCTCATCATCTGACTTGTAGTAAATAGGGACTATTGCTTGTTAATAATATAGTAACTCATAGAGCTTGCTTAAAGACTTCCATATAGCTAGTGATGTTTAATTGGTGGTCTTCATACTTGGTAACCATATCATTGCTCCTATAGCGCTTAGTCCTATAATCACTACTATTAAGTAGCTTCTTATATGTAATTGAATGATTCGTTTATGAATGTTTAGCACCTTGTTATTAGATGTTATAGGTGTAATTCTTGTTTCTTGATTGGCTACTTTAGGGATTATAATTCATTGTAATATCTATTTCTTTATCTATTAGTAAAATCACATTATTTAATTATTATAAAAAGCATTTGGGAATGGTAATAACTTATTATTCTTCTAAATTTGGTAGTTCATAACCATGACAAAAAAAGAAAAAAAGAATACATGTTTGGGGTCCATCGTTATGTCCACTCAAATAATTGTTAGGGTTACTCAAAAATATGATAGGTGTGTTTGGTTTGGTTAGGCTGTTAAGAGCAACTAACAATTATAACTATTAATAGATAATTGATAGAATAATTAATATTTATTACTTAACTGTTTGAAATTAATTTATAAATTAATGTTTTTAAGTACCTTAACTAACTATACACTAATAAAATTAAACAAACTAAATACATTTATAATATTTCATATAACCTTAACAATTATTTGTGTGATGATACCCTGGCCATGTTTTAGAGTCTTGTTCTTTGATATCATATCCAAGTGGCAAGTCAAGGTTTTTGGTCTTTGCTGTCCACGCCAATCTTGTAAGTCAAGGTCTTTGTTCTTTGATATCATATCCAAATTGCAAGTCAGGTTTTTGGTCTTTGCTGTCGACGCCAATGTTGTAAGTCAAGGTCTTTGCCATCTATAATATGAACAATGTTTCTTTCGGTATTAAAATGAGAGTTTGCAGTTTTGTAATTTGTTTTTTTATTGTATATTTTATAATAATTAATAAAAAAATGATCACCATAATATTAAAAAATTTATTTTTAATTAATAATTATAGAATATGTAATTTACTCACTTTTTTGTTACAATGAATCGTCAAAATATGAGTAGTTAAAATAAAAATTTGTTAGAACAATTTATGATAGTTCCTTCATTGTGGTCCCAAACCGAAAGGAAAAATAAAAAATTATATAATTATAGTTTGACTTTAGATTAGCTCTTAGCACAACCAAACAAGCCCTAAAAATATTTGTTTTTTATTCTTTATACATGTATTGAGAGTGAGGTTTCATAGCTTCTTTTGAGTGTCTCTTCGTTCTATTATTCCTTTTCAGATTTAAAAAAATACCCTTCTTCAAAGTATTAATTAACTTGGTGGCAAGAACGTAAATTAATAGAAAAATTTCCTGAAAGGTTTTGTACATTGAAGGTTAATGCTAAGTCAAGCAATCTTAGCAAAAAATTAACAGCGAAAGCTGATACGAAGATCAAGGTCCCTTAACATAATTGCTTTTCTTTCCTTTCCCTTTTTCTTCTCTTTTTTTTTAATGTTTAGAAATTGAGGAAGGAAGAATCACGTTGCAAAGGATAAAACCACTGGCATGATCATATATTAGTGCATTTTCACCATTAATTACCACTGCATAACATAAAATAACATAATTGTTTTTATATGCCGTATTTGAAGGGAATGTTTAATAATTTGACAATAACTATCACAATAATATAGTATTTATGACTTTTCTAAATTAGTGGATCATAACCATCTCCATCAATAATAGAGTACACGTTTACGTTTAGTTGAAGTTCTAAGTCAAGGTCATCCCGATTCATAAAATTAAATACAAATGCTAATAGTATGTTTGGTTTTATAAAAGGATATTGATTAATACATCCACTGATTCAATATACTGCACAACACACTCATTAAAAATCATTATATTTTAATATAAAATTAAGTATAGACAAACTTAAAAATATAGTCATGCACATAAAAAGCAAGAACTGACTGAATCAACTGTACTTATATTATATTTTTAATAATTGAACCGGACAAGTATTATTTCTCTATTTCCTATCAAAAAAATAAAAAATAAAAATATTACTACTTATTTAATGAAATGCTAGCAAGTGCTGTGCTGGGTAGGATTGGTGATGGTCTCGTCTGTCCCATTTTCCCCTTGCTGACAGTCTTGTAATTTAAACCAGATTACATTAATGAAATTTGTTTCCCATAAAAAAATAATAAATATTATTACTAGAAATGCAAATATATTTCCTAATATATAAGAAAAACTATTTATTAGTAATAACTAAAAATTAAATCCAGTCTTATCCAAAATGTGAGTAATTATGAGTAATGGTTAAAAAAAAAAAAAATTGGGACTAACAAGAAATAATTACAAATCATATATTACAAGTGAATTACTTTTCAATTCATAAGGATCGAATTGCAAGTAGGATTGAAGTATTACAAGCCATAAATTGTAAGGGCTTTTAATTCATGAATTAATGGATCAATGAAGGAGATAACGTGACAGGAAACGGACATGGTGGCTAACAAAAGGACCATGGATGCCCACTTTTTAATGCCCACTTTTTAATGTTTTGAAGTTATTATTTATCATGAATTAATAAAAATTTTATATTTTCTTTTGAGAAAAATAAAAATCAAAACATCTTGGCATTTTAAATACTAGGATCTCTTATAAAATTGTTTTTTGTATCCTTAATGTGTATTTTTTGCATGTTAATTCATCAAAGGTATATATATTAATCTTTTCATTATCATTTTTGACATTTTAAGTATTAAAATGTCTTAATTTTCCTCAGTCCCTTATCTTTTTATTCATTTTCCAAATGAAATGAAGAAAAACAAATTAAGAAAAAAGGAAATAGTTGTTGTGAAACTGCCAAGAAGAAATAGAAGCCCACCTAATTTGAATAAGCGTGTGGGGCCAATTGATGACAAATCATGACGTCATGGAGTAGTTGTTTACTTGTATATAAAGGCTTAAGGCACATTGTGTTTATGGCACAAAGACAGCACAATTAGCACTCTTTGCTTGATCTGAGTATATGCACTCGCTCCTTATTTTTATGGATTCGAAATGGTTGTATGTGGTACTTACACTCTTCTTATTAGAAGGGATGTGGTGCCAAGGGTGTTTGGAGCAAGAGAGAATTGCTCTACTACAACTCAGGTCTTCCTTCAATGATCCACGGGGTTTGAGAAATTGGGGGAGAGGAAAGGAAAATTCAGATTGTTGTCGATGGGAAAGGGTTGAGTGCAACCCCTCCAGTGGACGAGTTATCAAACTCCATCTTGATTACGTGGATGGTTGGTATAACTCATATCTTAATGCCTCTTTGTTTCTCCCATTTGAGGAATTGAAGAGTCTCGATTTGGCTGAGAATGGAATAAATGGTTTCATTGAAAATGAAGGTTTTTACCTATTGACACACCTTTCAACTTAATTATGTGGTTATCAAAACATATTTGAATATACATATAAGTAAATTCATTTCATTCTTATTCTCCTATATATTATTTATTTGTTTTTTACTTTTTAATTGAAGCAAATTGAACAATTCCTTTGATATTTTTGCAGATTTCCATAGGCTTTCAAAGTTGAGCAATTTGGAATTCCTTGACTTGAGTTGGAATGACTTCAATAGCAAAATTTTGTTATCTTTGAGTGAGCTTTCATCTCTCAAGTCTCTAAACCTTGCAAGAAACTACTTTCAAGTGTCAAACCATACTAATGGTACAATTTGATGAATTTCTGCTCATCTTTGGTTTATGGGAACCCATTTCCTTATTGTTTCCTCTTGCAATTTAAATTTTTTTACTCTGAAAATTGAATCTATAATTAACTTGTATAAATTGCAAAAATTGTATTGCAGGTTTTAAAAGGCTTTCTAAGTTGAGGAGTTTGGAGATCCTTGATCTAAGTTACAATTACTTGAATAATAGTATCTTAACATCTTTGAGTGATCTCCTATCTCTTAAATCTCTAAATCTAGCCAACTGCAACTTAATGATAGCATCAAATCACATGGAGGGTAAGATTTTAACTTACTGTTGTTATAAGTTTACCAAATTTGATGCAATATCGATTATTTTAATTAAAGACATTATCTTTGATTTGTTAATTTATAGCAGCTAATTTTGAAAGCCTGTCAAGACGCAGCCACTTGGAATTTCTTGACTTAAGCTCCAATATAGATTTGAACAACAGCATACTACCATATCTGAGTAGTCTTCTATCTTTGAAAACTCTTATCCTGCAGAATTGTGGACTAAACGGGACTTTGAGTATTAGAGGTAATTCAATTTGTTTTCTTTCCGTTTTCATTTCTATTATAATTTTCTCTTAAAAAGATGTGTCATATTGTAATATTTTATTGAAATTAAAAATAGTTTTCCTTCTTTTGTTTTGATGGTGAACTTGAACAGAACTCAACCAATTCATCTTTGGTGTATGGGAAACCATTTCCTTTTTGTTACTCTTGCAATTTATATTTCTTTTATTCTCAAAATTGAACCCATAACTAACTTGTATGAGTTGCAAAAAATTATATTGCAGGTTTCATGAGGTTTTCTAATTTGAGAAATTTGAAAATCCTTGATCTTAGTCACAATGACTTAAATATTAATATCTTAACATTTTTGGGTGAGCTTCCATCTCTCAAGTCTTTGAGTTTGAGACGCTGCAACTTAATGATAGCATCAAACCATAGAGACGGTAAAAATTTAACAAACTTTATTATATGTTTATTAGAGATGATATAATATTTGATCATTTTAAATAAATACTTTATGTTCTGAAATTTTAATTTGTAGGAGCTGATTTTGAAAAGCTGTCAAGATTTCACCATCTGGAATTTCTCGACTTAAGTGATAATAAGGATTTGAACAACAACATTCTATCATACTTAAGTAGTTTTTCATCTCTAAAAACTCTAATCTTGTCCAATTGTAGACTAAATGGCACTTTGAGTACAAGAGGTAATTAAGCTTGCTTTCACCCGTTTTCATTTTTATTATATCTTTTCCCTTAAAAAGTTGTGTTATCCTGTAATATTTTACTAGAATTAAACATATTTTTCATTCTTTTATTTTAATGATGAGCTTAAACAGAATTGAGTAATCTGAGAAACTTAAAGGTGTTAGATATAAGCTGGAATGACATTGAAAGCCTCGAATCTTCTCAAGGTACATATATTTAATTTGTTTTCTAAGTTAATATTTAATATTAACAAAATTGATTGTAATGAGATCATATATTTTTGGCAAATGAACAAAATTTAAGGTTTGTCCATCTAGAGGTCCTTGATTTGAGTTATAATTTCTTCAACAATAGTGTGCTATCTTCCGTCAATGAATTTTCAAATCTAAAATCCCTGAATATAGAAGTTAATAATCTAAAAGGATTAGTAGATGTCACAAGTAAGTTGAGGCATACTTTAATCTTTTCTTCTTTCTTGCTAAAACGTTGAAAGCAGTTTATTTGTTACTTATGTG